ACAGGTTTGATCCAGGGCCTATAAAAAAAGATGTTTTGCCCCTGAATAACATGTAAAAGTTCAGATGGGGTTGGATGGATTGTCTGTCGACGGGTTGTCTGAATCAACCCAAAGAAGGAACTTCAAGACAAATGCGACATAATTCAGGCAAGTTTTTCTGCTCGGTGAACAGCAGAAAGAAGTGCTGAATGGTATCTTTCTGTTTGTTTTTAATGCTTACTTCAGTAGCCCTGGGGAAGAGTTACATATTATCAAAGGCTAATAATACTAAAACAGCTTCTATGAGACCTAAAGGGAATTCATCTTGTTCAGTTAACCTTTGAGTCAAGGGACTACAGATGCTCTTCATCTCCTTGCAGTCTCCCCACCCCCGCTGCAAATATGATCAAGGAAATGGAAGGGGAACACAGTAAGATTTCATTAACAAAGAGACTTGGGAAATTCTCAAAGGGCAGTTTAGTAAACTCTGCTCCTTATTTAATAATAAATATTGATTATTTAACAGCCAAGTTTCCAGATGCTGAAACGACAAAACATGGGAGAGGCAGCAAATCTTCAGTGCTGGAACACTCAGCGTAGAATGAACCCTGAAAAGAAAAGAAAAGATCATGAAAGTCCATGAGAATCTCAAATTCCATTTCTTCCACTTTGCTGATCGGCAACTCAGCCTAAGCCTACTGACCACAACTCCAGAGCTTTTCTGAATGTCTCACATGCTTTATCAGGGTCCCTAACTTCATGGAGAATTCTACTCACATTCAAGCAAACTAGAATATGATACCCGCAATTTTTCTCCATTCAACAAAGGATAGATCAGGAAATGGGGTCATGGGCTGTTGCACACAAGCTTGTGCATATGCCCCATCTCCCTCCACCAATACAGCATTTGTGTTTTCAGGCAAACATCTGAATGTGCCTTACTGCCTCCCATGATCTTATTATTAATAATAATAATAAATTTTTATTTATACCCCGCCCTTCCCAGTTTAAAAACCGGGCTCAGGGCAGCTTACAGCAAATATAAAACATTGATTAAAATGTGACTTAAAAACAGCATAAAACAGAAAAAAATCAACATAAATGCAGTATCAATGTCAATAAAATTCAGGGTCATTTTTTTTTGCACGGGGGGGGGGACACACACCGAGTCAGTAAACATAAAATGATCACCAGGGCTAACTGGCCAAGTTGGTCCTACTAGGGCCAGCAAGGAGACCAGGGAAGAGTTTAAATGTGGGGTCCCAGATGGGTTTCTTCATAAAAAAAGGAAAGGGAAAAGGGAATGGAGGATCAGGCTAATTCAAATTGGCCAGGCGGAATAGCTCTGTTTTACAGGCCCTGTGGAAGGAGATCAAGTCCTGCAGGGCCCTAGTCTCATGGAACAGAGCATTCCATGAGGTTGGAGCCATCACTGAAAAAGCCCTGGCCCTGGTGGAGGATAACCTGGCTTCTTTATGCCCGGGACCCTTAAGCTATTATTATTCATGGAGCTTAGGGTCCTCTGCAGGACATACCAGGAGAGGCGGTCCCGTAAGTATGAGGGATCATTTAAGGCAGGGGTGGGGAACCTCAGCCCCAGGGGCAAATTGCATCCCTACAAGTCTTTCTGCCTGACATTTGGGATCCTCTCCCCAGGTCATACCCCTCACCAGCACTGCTTCATTTCCTCTTAGAGTGTTTTTGCCTGGCTGGAATGTGCCCTTGAACTCTGTTAATGACTCTTGCTTGCTGGAATGAAGGACAGAGAGGGTTGACTGTGAGTGGGAACTGTACAAATGTAGAATTTTTGATCATTTATCCTCCCACACCCCTGGAATCTTATAGGGAAGTTTTTAATGTCTGATGTTTCATTATGATTTTATATCTGTTCTAAGCCACCAGTCAGATGGACGGAGTATTATTATTATTATTATTATTATTATTATTATTACCACCAAGAATGGAATGCGGCCCTTAGGCTGTAAAAATATCCCAAACTCTGAAATAAGACATCTAGATTATTTTTACATGTGATGCTGGCAAGGCCTGCCTCCCATGTGCCTTTGTTGTTGTTTTAATTGTACCTATATTCAAAAGTCTACCTGTTTTTCAGTTTTGGCCAACCAACAGAATAGGAGGAACCATGAGAGAGGAGCAAAAATGTTTCTCAAAAGGGTATGTGGGCATGTGCTTCTAAATTCATAATGTTAGTGTAAGACAAAAGAAGCTGGAAATTGCCCACAAGAGCAATTGTAAAACAATACAAACCTCCAGCTATTTTCACTATTAGCACAATCCTCCTGCCAGAGAGGAGACTGAATATACTCCCAAGTGACAATTCTCTCCTGCTGAAAGAATATCTGAGCCCCCCAGGGATCTAAGTAGAACTGTCATAATCTTATGCTACCCTGTCTTATTTCATTGTCATCACTAATAGCAAATCAGGCAACGAGTGCCAATAGAAAATGATCCAAAATGTGGCCACTGAGAAGGAAGAGGAAAGTATCAACCTGCTAAGGGAAACCCTGAGGTTTGCAGAAATACAACAATTCTTAAATAAAACAGAACAACCTGCAGAGGGCAAACTCCAATGAAGCCACATAATTCTGAGTCTCAAATGAAGAAGAAGAAGAAGAAGAAGAAGACATTATTATTATTTATTTTTAATTTAATGGGTATACAACTTTTCAAAAGAAGGAAAGAAAAGAAAAGACAAAAAAGACACATCAGGGACATGGTGGGTTTACAAGAGAGAAAGAAATGACTAGATATAGATTTTACAATACTGAATATATAATACAAAATCAAATCAAAGAACACTAACATCTAATTGTATGGGGAAAGATTAAAGTGGGGAAATAGACAAACAAGGGAAATCATGGATGAGGAAAGTAAACAAAGAAAATACTAGTTAAAGCTGCTTCCAGATGAATTCATACTTTGCAGGGACTACAGATGATGAGTATGAGAATGACATTTATATACAGCTTAATGCCAACTGGCAGATTGAGTGGACGAGACTAATAGTGGGTCCAATAGGCAGTTCCTGCATGTGCTGTAGAAGGAAGTAAGAGGCAGATGGGGCTCATCAACTTGGAAAGATAGCTCATATGTGTGAAGGAAAACTGACCTAAACACTGCTGCCTTGTGGATTATCTTCAGCAGAAGAAAAGGCTAAGGAGTAAACCCTACATATATCTGAAGTCCATAAGACAGTTATATGGCACCTTGTATGTCTCATTCCAGCAACTCCTGCAGCCCAGCTGGTGGCAAACGTATGGCTCTGCTTTCCTTTGGGCCACATAAGTGAAGCTGAGAGGGGGTCCTGGCAGCCCAAGACCTCCATAAACACCACCCAGGCTCACCCCAGGGAGGTCACTTCAGTGCTACAAATGCAGCGATTTGATTTCACCTCAGGAGGTGCACTCCATTTTCTCTTGAGGCAGATGGATGCCAACAACAAATGCCAACTTCCTTGTGGTTTACAAATATAAAAATCAATTTGCACATACATAATTGAAATACACACTAAAACAATCCCATTAAAACAATACAGCAATTAAAATAGGAAACTCGGGTCAGAAAAACAGGCTCATCAAAAGACAATGGAATGGGGCATCTGGTGTTTTAACAGTGATTCTTTGACAGCTAATATTATCCTGGAAGAGACCATAGCTGGCTGGTTGGCTGAAACCTGTTTCCAGGTGAAGAGACTACAATGCAGCATTTTGTTGCAAGCAGGTCTCAGTTTCATACTTTATCACCAAAATATCAGCATGCTATTAAATAATAGTATGGGCCATAAGAAAGTATTATATTATATGTTAACCTTCCAGTTGCAGAATCCAACAAGAACTAGGTAAGCAGGATGTTGCTTAGATACTAATTTCCTGTGTTAATAGCTGTGGACATTTCTCATTGATCTGCTGTAATCACATGGCACAGGGAAGTTATTTTATTGCACAAGGTGAGTTCCATTGATTCCAGATGCTCACCTGTTAAAATTCTGACAAATTGCTATTGACATGTTGACTAGTTTTGACTTTACTTTGGGAAGAAAATTAATTTAACCTAAGAAGGTTCTTGAAAATCTTTTATTTTGGTAATCATTTGCTAATAGAAATGATGTTGAAAAGCTGGGTGTTAAGAGAGAGAAAATTCTTTTTTTGAACTGGGAAGAATACATTTTATATGATTGGGATGTTTTCTTATAACTCCTACTTCTTGGGGATGTTACAGAAATATTGTAACAGCAAACCCAGGATGGTCTCTGATTCCAATCTTACCATGTAGATTTAGCTCATGGTTCACCTAACATTTAGGGTCTGTGGCAGGCCTGTGTGGGGTTGGGCAGTCAGGTAGACTTGACTGCCAACTGGGAGCCCATATCAAGGACTTGCCTGACTTATGCTGTCATGCCAAGAAGGACTTCCACCCAGAACTTCAGAAAAGCTCTGCATGGGCCTGGCCTGGGGGCAAACTGGATAAATTTTGTCGTCACCCCATCAAACAGACTCAAGTGTGTGTGTGTGACACAATGTTTTCCTTAAGCCAAATTTCAGTAGGTACAGAACACCCTGTGTGCACAAGAAAATACCTTTGTGGACCATAAGTACCACATTTGACTCCCATCAAAAAGTGAATCAGTAACTATTTAAATATATTTATTCGGCCTAATAGCAATACAGACTTAGCAGCAAGCACAAGGGCCAGAAGTCAATATTTCAAATTATGCAAGCCAGGTAAGGGATTCATAACCCAATGGAAGCTACAAAGATGCCCCAACCATTGACATGCCTTTCCTGCCAATTTTTAAAGATAAGGTTGGGTACGTTGACTCACAGGACTCTTGTGCCCCACAAGTCTGCTGCTCATGCGTCTATATGCTCTGCTTGGGCAGGTTATTCTGACCTCATCTACAAAGGTGGAGCCAGGTTATACGTCCACCTAGTTCAATATCGTCCACACAGACTGGCAGCTGATCTCCAGGGTTTCAGACAGGGGACAACCCTAAACCTACCCAGAGATGTCAGGTATTGAACCTGAGACCTTCTGTAGGCAGCACAGATGTTCTACCAGTGAGCTACAGCCCTTCCCCATCTCTGTGATACTATACTGATGTCTCAGGAAGTAAATGCAAATGACCCCACTTCTTACTAATTAATATGGGCCACATCCACTGGGATGTTCTTCTGCATAAGCCTCATTAGAATGAATATTGCAAAGGAAAATGTCCTGGTTGATTGCCCCTACACCTGAAAGAAGACTCTGAGACATAATTGGAGTAAAGGTTATATTTATTAAAATGTAACAAATTGGAGGAACTGCAGACCGATCTTAAACAAATTAACCAAATTTCAAGAAGTATAGGCAGGTGAGGCCTCTTGCAAATTCTTTTAGGGGGAAACTTCCTTTCTGTCAGCTGGGCATGAAATGCAGTCAAAAGCTGTGGCTCCCCAGTTAAGGAGCAGTGACCAGGCATAAGCTAGGGATGGGGCAGCTGTTAAGAGTGGGGTGGGACATCTGGAAGTGACGGAGTGCATCAGCAATGCAGGTTTGTAAGCCTGAAACATGCCACACAACAAACATGAGATTAAATTGCAAGAACTGCGAGACAAATGCCCTCACCATGCACATCACCTGAGCCATCAGAGAGATATCTGTGCACGAATCACCTGAACTGCGGCCATGTTGTCACAACGGGACCTCAAAGTGTGGTCCTGTAAGTCAACAGATCAGAGATGCACTGTTACCAATATGGGGGGGGGGAATCCCAATAAAATTAAATCAGCTGCAATCCCATCCTCCTGCAGCGTATCACTGGCCACAGAATATGAGCCCAAATCTGTGACTACGAGCTGCCACACACATGACTTGGAGATCAACCTCCAGGAGTAAGTGATCCCTCATAAATGAAAGCCCGTTGTATTTAAAGAGAAAAGTCACTCACATGGTACAGGTTCTTGTGTATGCTGAGTGACACCTGTAATATGTTGAAATCTCATGAATGGCATTTTACATTTCCCCATGGATCAGCTCTGTCTGTCTTAAGAACATAAGAACATCCAGCTGGATCAGACCAATGGCCCATCTAGTCCTGCATCCTGTTCTCACAGTGGTCACCCAGATGCCTGTGAGAAATCAGCTAGCAGAACTTGAGCACTCTCCCTTCCTGTGGTTTCCAGCAACTGGTATTTGGGAGCATTGCTGCTTCCTACTGTGGAGGTACAGCATAGCCATCTTGGGTAGCAGCCCACTTTTCCATGGACTTGTTTAATCTTCTTTTGACGACATCCAAGTTGGTGGCCTTTTGAATTATGGTGCTGGAGGAGACTCTTGAGAGTCCTGTGGACTGTAAGAAGATCAAACCTATCCATTCTAAAGGAAATCAGCCCTGAATGCTCACTGGAAGGACAGATCCTGACGCTGAGACTCCAATACTTTGGCTACCTCATGAGAAGAGAAGACTCCCTGGAAAAGACCCTGATGTTGGGAAAGATGGAGGGCACAAGGAGAAGGGGACGACAGAGGACGAGACAGTGTTCTCGAAGCTACAAACATGAGTTTGACCAAGCTGCAGGAGGCAGTGGAAGACAGGAGTGCCTGGAGTGCTCTGGTCCATGGGGTCACGAAGAGTTGGACATGACTAAATGACTAAACAACAACAAGTTGGTGGCCACCACTGCTTCCTGGGGGAATGAGTTCCATAGTTTGTCTTCCAGCCTACTTGCCTTAATAGCACCCTGAATCTGCCATCTCACCTTACCTTCCATGGCTAAAGCATTTTGCCCAAGATCTGCACACCTATAATCTCCCTTTAATGATGCACATTCAACGTTTTCTCCGTTTGCAGTTGTGGAAATGACATTATCAGGCTGCAAAGCAAGCTGAAGCAATTATCCATTTGACTTTAAGTAACGCACACACTTATGTATATTTAGCTTTTAGTAATGAGGAATAATTTTTCAGCTGGAAAGCCAAGATACTGCTCTCCCCCCCCCACCGCAAAAAAAAAAAAGGAAGAACAATGAGAACAACTAGAAGAAAGACTGATCATGGAGAAAGTATGTAGCAGCAACTTACTCAATTCTGAGCATATTGACAAGAGTGGAAATTAATGTAGTAATATCCTTTATTCTTTAGATATTGCCACGTAGTTAGGAAGCAGTGCTCAAACTAAGTGAAAAATACATTAGCATAGAAAAACACTTGGCTTCCTTTGCCTCGAGGGAAACAACAATTAATCATTGACAAACAAATGTTAATACTGATTATACATCAGTGCAAGGTTATAATATCTTCATGTTCCAGTGCATCCTAGAGACAAAGAGAGAGAATGTGTGGAATCCCGCATAGCACAGCAGGAGTCACAGCAGAAAAGCTTACATCTACATGGCTGCAATAGACAAGGCAGTCCTATTGCAGACATCATCTGCATCCAGCACATATCAATAATATATGTAATACGATAGGAGGGCAATCAGCAGATCTCTTTCCGAAAGCTCAGAGGAATAGCTTGTTTGTGCAACCTCAAGATGCCAAGGTGGCTACTTTTGGAAGGATTGTTATTGAGACAGAGACTTCAGTGTCTTGGGTAGTGGAAAATGGGCCATATACATCACCTATGGAAATTCTTTAATAGACCTGTTAGGATTGCAAGGGAGAATATTTCCTGGTATATTTCTCTTGCCATTCCAGCTGCTTTACAGTTTTACAGTGGCAGCTTAAAATCATTCGGTTATGCAGGATTTGATGGGATCACTTTTTCACCAGTTTTTAAAATGCAATGTGATGGGGAGGGGGGGTAAGTAGCTGTAAGCAATCTCTGCAGATGAATCTCTGTGGATTCAACGCTAGTAAATACAATTCCAAGTGGAACCTGCAACAAAAATTGGAGTAACAATACCATTACAATTGGAACCTGCAACAAAAAGTTGCAGTGTGGAATGATTTGGTTTAGCAGTGATTTGGTTTAGCATTCTAGCTAGGGAACCATGCCCTTTTCCAGCATTCTTCATTTCACCCTCCTCAAGAGTCAGCCAGCATTCAATGGGGACTGAACATGAACATGTTTGGCTGTAAGTAGCTTTGGGTTGCCTTGGCCAGGATAAAGTAACTAACAAATTTGCCTCCCTGCCCCTCCCTCAACTGATTTTGAGGTGGCAGTTGGCAATGCTGCTTTTGAACAAGAGCCAAGCTCAGCTCTCATCTGTGGTGGCTGCCTGCCAGTTTAAATTATCAACTATGTAATGCCCCACGCCTGGCCCATAGGTCCATGAATTTCATTGATTTCATAGGTTGACTGGTTAGGACCGTAGGTTGTCTATATGGACCAGGGCACTGCATTGTTGTAAGTCAAGTTGGAGAGTGGCCACTGTGGGCTCCCAATTTTTTGACCTTTTCAATTTGATCCTTCCCTCACAGTCTTGATAATGGTCTTTATCTCTGGAACTGCATAAGTTCTGTGTAGATGAACTGAATCACTATAAACACGAGTCCAGACCTGTCAGTGATCAAGCAAGCACATAGGCTATAAGCCTGCTTCCTGCTATTCATACACTGGGGAAAGTGAGGGACATAACTGCAAACATTATTTTTTTGTAAAACCAAGGACTCTCTCTATATACAAGGCCCAAAATAACCCACATATGGAATATCAAGACTCAAACATCCTAATTTTCCAGGATTCCTCTACAGAGACTTTAAGGCAGAGTGCAAAGTTTCACCCAATTACCAACTGCCTTTGGGAGGCCGATCTAAAATATGTGTGGGGCTTTTCATTTTAATTGCTTGTTTTTAAAGACCAAAAGCCCCATGGCAGATAAATAGCCACTTTGAAGGAAGGCTACAAATTACTTAAAGGGGTGGAATTGACTCTTCTATCCTTGCCGCAAGAAGCATGAAATATAAGGAAGTCACTGGAGGAATCGATGTCTACCAGGTGGTCAACAACAAGAAACCAAGAAGCCAGAGGGACAGTGATATCACACATAATTCTCCATAAGAAGTATTGCCTACCACACATTCTGTGGCAGCCATTTTCCAACTGATTGAATCATCAAGATTTATAGAATCTGGGGTTGAAGCATCTTAGGTCCAGGAGTTGAATGCAACCAACCAGACTTCGATACTTGATCCACATGCCACACACTCTCTATTTAGAGACCACACCCTTCAGTGTCCCTTGCTTTCCACCTTGAATCTTGTCTGTTTGGAATGTGTCCTTGAACTCTGACAGTGCATCTTGCAAGCTTGGCTGGATGATTGATAGGTATGTGAATGTAGAAAGTATCTTACTGTACAAAGGTGCAATTTGCACCCCATGTTCTGCCACCTTCTGTCTCAAGCCCCAACCACCACTGGCCCTCAGAAGATTGCCCAGAAAGGAAAGTAGCCCCCAGGCTGAAAAGAACCCCCCACCCTGACAAAATCCATGCCAGCTTCCCCTGAAGTGTTAGCAACACATTCTCCCTTGTGAGAGCCCCACCCGCTCTGTCTTTAGAAAATCTTTAGAAAATGTGTTCATAATAGTAAACCGTTTTGCAGAGGTTGATGAGAGAGCACACTGAGTGCCACAGATGGAATGCGCACCAAGTGTGCTAAGAATGAATACTAATAACCTCATTATGGTTCATGTGTTATTTTGCAAAATAGTACCTATCTTAGCATTTAAGACTACTTAGCAAATGGTTTGTTTTGATAGTCCCTTAATAACAGAGAGAAATAAGATTTTCGACTTTCTGCTAGAAACAGTCCTTTTTTGAAAGACACAAAGAGCTTGAGGATTTGAGTGATTCTGTAAATATTTTGGGGGAGCTTAAGCTTTATGTATGGCGTTTGTCCTAAGTGTTTTTCTGGCAAGCTTGTTAATGAGCACCTTGTTCTTAGAGGCTACGGATGCTGGGCTAACCAACACAGATTACGGTAAATTGAGAAGCTAATGTTGGGATCATGAAACAAAGCTTCTATCCTAGAAACAATTCCACTGGGCTGAAGCTATTCATAAAGAGTGTTGACTGATATGCTAACAGAGCAAGGTAGAGGTCAGAATATTTGGACAACAGGTTCTTTTTAGATGGGACAGTTTGTTCTG